TCCTGGATGAAAACTCCAAAGGCCAGCTGGTCTTCCGATATTTTCCCAGCAAGTATTATAAGTATTCTTTTCAGTTTTATACCGCACAAACCCTAGTTCATGTTGGTCTTCATTTTTTGAAGCTGCTCTTACTGCGTTCTCGGGGAATCATCGGGTATTCCGTCTGTGCTGATCGAGCATATTCACATACCCCAAATGATTATGTACCTCATGCAAACGGCAATTGAGAGCAAGACTTTATTGCCGATAACTAGATTCATGGAAGAAAGAGAATTCCATCACGACTTTATCGGCACATTCTAGAAGCCTCATCGACAACTGACTCAAGACACGTTCGTCCAATCTGACCATACACTACGGCAAGTGCCAGAAGTTGAGGTGCAGCACTACATACAGCAGCGACGCACCGACATTAGGTATGATGAGTCAGCAGCTCCACCAATGGGAGGAAGATGACAGACATCGCATCCCACTTCGATGTCGGATGTTCGACGTCAGACACGAGACCTATCAAGGGCGGGCGACGTTTTCCAATTCAACGTTGTTCCTTATTTTCTCTGCGAATATTTCATTTTTCGGTGATACCCATGTTATTTTCAAAGAACAACTTGTTTGATGGCCCAAATTCCATGAAGAACCTCGACTTCAGTCCCGCATAAATCGAGAGGCATCTGCCGCTGGCAGCCGGCTGATTGATGGGAACCCTGCCCAGCGCCACAAGAGATAGCATCACCATGTTATCGCGATCATCCATTCTGGGCTACCTGTGTCTTTTATGGCCGACAGTTGTGTTTGCAGTCAATCACGCTCATCTTGCCGAACTTCGCAATGCAACTACCCAAGTCTTCCACCATGGCTGGGACAACTACATGCGCGTTGCATTCCCAGAGGACGAGGTACGCAAACACTTAGACTCCGCAGGGCATTGGAAATAGACTGACCTTGCATCTAGTTACGCCCGATATCCTGTACACCGTTAACGCGCGATCCGGCGAACCCCGGAAACTACGATTTAAATGATGTCCTCGGCAACTACTCCCTTACCCTCATCGACAGCCTTTCGACCCTGGCTATCCTCGCAGGGACACCCTCCGATGAACATACTGCTGTCTGGGCTCTGCAAGAGTTCCAGCAGAGCGTCGCAGCTTTCGTCGAATACTATGGCGACGGAAGACGCGGGCCGTCTGGAGAAGGGCGAAGGGCGCGAGGCTTTGACCTGGACAGCAAAGTTCAAGTCTTCGAGACAGTCATCAGAGGAGTCGGTGGCTTGCTGAGCGCGCACTTATTCGCTATCGGAGAATTGCCTATACCTGGCTATAACCCAGGCCAAACCTTCAATGAAGACGAGGATTCCGATCCGCTGGAGCTGCACCCCATAGCATGGCCAAACAACTTCAAGTACGATGGGCAGCTTCTCAGACTAGCGTTGGATCTTGCAGAGCGACTCTTGCCTGCTTTCTATACGAACACAGGGTTGCCGTATCCGAGAGTTAACCTGCGACACGGCATACCTTTCTACGTCAACTCTCCACTACACAAAGTCTCTCGCGATGACCCGGATTCACCTCGAGCGACGAATGAAAAGACAGATACGTGTAGCGCCGGCGCTGGAAGCCTCGTCCTAGAATTCACCGTTCTTAGTAGGCTCACAGGCGACTCAAGGTTTGAACAATTGGCAAAGCGAGCGTTTTGGGCAGTGTGGAAAGCCAAGAGCGACATTGGTCTTATTGGTAATGCAATTGACCCTGAAAAGGGCGAGTGGGTCAGCTTTGACTCGGGGATTGGCGCTGGTGTTGACAGCTTCTTTGAATATGCACTGAAAAGCCACATTCTACTGTCTGGCCATGAGCTGCCGAACGTTACCGCCTCAGAGCCACCTACTGATCGGCAGTGGCTCGATCCCAACACATTACACGACATACCTTTGACGCCTGAGGAGAACTCTGCTGGGGCTTTCCTAGAGGCGTGGCACCATGCGCACGCAGCTATCAAGCGCCACCTGTACAATGACGCGCATCACCCGTACTACATGACTGGTCACCGAACTCGCGGATACGCTTTCACAAGCTGGATTGACAGTTTGGCAGCCTTCTATCCCGGCTTGCTTGCGATGGCTGGTGAGATTGAGGAAGCCGAGGAAGCCAACCTACTATATACAGCTCTATGGACCCGTTACGGGGCGTTGCCCGAGAGATGGTCCGTACGTGAGAGACAAGTCGACTCTGGTATCGGTTGGTGGCCTGGCCGGCCTGAATTCATCGAGTCTAACTATTACCTGTATCGTGCCACGAACGATCCCTGGTATCTGCACGTTGGGGAGATGGTCCTTAGTGACATCAAGAGACTGTGTTATACGAAATGCGGTTGGTCCGGCCTCCAGAATGTCGACACAGGGGAGAAGGCCGACCGTATGCAGAGCTTCTTTCTTGGCGAGACCACCAAGTATCTCTATTTGCTCTTCGACCCAGACCACCCATTGAACAAGCTCGATGCCGCTTATGTCTTCACCACGGAGGCGCATCCCTTGATCATCCCTCGGAGAAGAACGAGGCCAATAAAGAAGCAGGAACGCCGCAAACAACACAGCAGCGTCGATGTCTACTACGACGAGAATTTCACGAATACCTGCCCTGTTCCAAAGCAAGTTCCTCTTACGGGTTCTGTACTGGCTGCGCGGCCCGACGTCTTTCACGCGGCGAGTTTCGTCAACTTGCACACCATCTCCAATCCGCGTAGTGGAGTTGAGTTGGTTCCCGCCGGCAAAGGCAGCAATGGCTCGATATCAAGATACAAGGCAAACCATACTTTTTTCCCGTGGACACTTCCGCGCACACTCATCCCAGACAACGGCACCTGTGCCGCCCTGCCTTTCAAGCCTACGCTAGTCATTGAGTTCCCGGCAAACATACAACAGGGCAACGTTGGGAGCGCCTTCAACAGCCTATTCGCCAATACTGCCGCTTTCAAGACACCTGTGGGCGTCAGGATCTCTGCCCTGAGTGGGTTGAAAGTCCACTTCGTTCAGGAAGATTCGTTTGATTCAGCATACGATCATACATGGAGGGTCACTCAGGTCAACCACATGCCGCTGGGACGAGATGAGCCAGTACACATTGACGCGGATCTCCTGAAAGGCATCTCCGATCCTCTATTCAACCGTGTTCGGTACAATGGCTTTGTCGAGCTCATCATGATGCACGGGGAGCCGGAAGAGCGTAACGCCAGCGCACCTGCGCCCGCCGAGGGGCTGGAGGTTGAGATCAGTGACCTTGACGATCAAGTTCAGCTCACAGAAGAGGCGCAATCTGAGCTCGTAGAAGATCAGACTCCCGGCAAGAGTATGAACACTGCCTACAGGTCCATGCTAAAGTCCATGATTCGCGCTGTCACATCTGTCTTTGATCCCACCAACACCCCAGCGCCGCTCCCCGCTGGTGCAAAGGCAAACTTCCATGTTGAAAGCTACATGGGTGCTTTGGCAGTGGGCAAAGGGGCCGTTCCGCTACCCGATGTTCCTGATGCTTCTGTCCCGAGCGACGACACCCCTCCGAGCCTCTCGTGGCAGACAGTCTATCGAGCAGGCTTCGGGTGTGATGGTCGCCTGCCTGATGAAGCGCCTCGCAATCACCAGGTAATTGTCCTGCGCCGTGGGGGCTGCTCATTCAGTGAAAAGATTGCCAACATTCCCTCCTACACGCCCTCGCCGCGATCTCTACAACTTGTTATCATTGTCGATGAGGAGGAACTCGAGACCAATTATGTTTTCAGCGCCCCTGACTTGTGGGAATATGAGATGATTAAGCCTCACCTGGATGTTGAGCAGGTTACACCGTCGGGGTTGCGACGGCCGCATCCCATCGCCATGGTGATGATTCGCGGCGGTGGGCCGGAGGCTTACGAGAAGTTTGGTAATGCCCTCGGTGTGGGAGTTCGGAGGAAGTACTTCATTGAGACCCAAGGGCGGAGGGTGGATAACATCATTGTCCTGTGAACTGGGCAACGATGCCATCAGAGTAGAAAAGGAGAGGTTGCTACTCATTGAATGGAGGTTCATGGTCTTTTGGAGCATAGCGATACATTGTATATAAGGGTCTGGAGGTGCATGATAGATACCATTTGTGGAGGAGTTCCCGTTTTGCTAGATCAATTGATGTTGAATTGCAATTTAAAATTTTGGCCGGCAGAGCAAGCCTGGTTTTATGTATTGGTGATCAAGAAAACAGAAATCATTTGATTTCCTCCGAGCCACTACCCAGTGGACACTGATTTATTTCTCTCTCTTCTTTTCGTTCTTCAATTTTGCCAATTTGCTGCTAAGGTACCTACGTAAAGATATGAAAGTTGCTTCCGTTGTTGATCAATAGTGGCAGATCAGATTTTGTGGGTCCACACGCCCGAATGACGCCAAAGGAAGGTAGGACCCCTAAATCAGATCAAGGTAAGGCACAGTGGCGAGGTTTGAGCCAGGAGCTGTCGAGCAACGCTTAGTTCAACTTGCCTCAAACTCAAAATCGAACTACCTCTCCCCAAATCCTATCACACTAACGGGGTGTCGTGTTTATCGTCTTGCTTCGAAGGACATCCTCATTACCCCAAGTCATACCTTGCCCGACACGGCTAAGTACAACAAGGGATAGCAAGTTGTGCTGCAAGTGAGCACATCAGGAGGCGCATTCACGATTTCGAGATACCTACCTATTACCCACACTCTTTCGTCTTGAACCTCATATTTCACAGCACGTCATCGTATGTCTACGGCTGCGTGGCTCGTTCCTCCCTCATTTGACAGCCAAATATTCGACTGAAGGCAAGATTTGACACCTTCGATTCTCGTACAGAAACGTGCACCAGTGGCTCCAGCAAACGTCACATCCGGGACCTTGTTCTTCATGAGACGGCCGGCTCTGTTGAAACCTGACAGGGTAGCCTAACCCGCCATACGGATTGAAATCTGAAGTCATTCCCCCGAAATTTTGACACTCCAGAGTTTGGCATCAGCTATGGAGTCGCCCTTTTTTGACACGGAGCCTCAACCCAAGGCTGCGAGCTTCAAGGGCCGACTCCAGATGCAAGAATTCATGTTCAACCCGACCAGCGAACCACCCAGCACCCGTAATGCTAGTACTATCACTGCCAACAAGGCTTCTCCATCTCCTAGCCCTTCTTCCCGGGGACACCTCCGTCGGAGTCCACGGAAGCAGACTCCACTCGGCCCCGTACCGTCCCCGAACCGAGTCACCAAGCAGACGGCCAGCAGCCGCGCCGAATTGCAAGCCCTCGAGTCCACTTCAACATTATTGTCTCTCAAAGTCGAAGAAGCTGAAGAAGCCTTACAAGACATCTCCATCCTATCCAACGAACCAAGCCCAAAGCCAGAGCTAACCTCAAAACCGAAACCAAAACGCAAACGCAAGGCTGTCGGAGGCTACGCACCACCCTCAACCTACGCTCATCTCCCCCACCTAACCGACATCCTCGCGCCAGACCTCCTCATCCTCTTCGTCGGCCTCAACCCGGGCTTGCGCACCGCGGCCCTCGGCCACGTCTACGCCCACCCCTCCAACCTCTTTTGGAAGCTCCTCTTCTCCTCGGGCATCACCCCACGCCTCTGCGCCCCGACAGAGGACCGCGACCTGCCGGCGCTGTACGGGCTGGGAAACACCAACATTGTCGCCCGCCCGAGCCGCAACGGCGCCGAGCTCTCCAAGGCGGAGATGGATGAGGGCGTCGGGGCCCTCGAGGAGAAGGTCAAGGGCTGCAGGCCCGAGGTTGTCTGCATCGTGGGTAAGTCGATCTGGGAGAGCATCTGGCGGGTGAAGCACGGGAGGGGCATCAAGAAGGAGGAGTTTCGGTATGGGTGGCAGGATGAGAACGAGAATATGGGCGTCGTTGTGAAGCAGGAGCAGGAAGAGGGGATGGGAGGAGACTGTGTGCAGGCATTGGAGGCGTGGGCTGGCGCCAAGGTCTTTGTTGCTACCAGCACGAGCGGTCTTGCTGCGTCGCTCCGCCCGGCTGAGAAGGAGAGGATTTGGAGAGAGTTGGGTGCTTGGTGTGAACGAAGGCGGGCTGAAAGGGAGGCCGAAGCCGAAACTTGAGCGATATCACAAGACAGTCGGGCGCTGATAATCTTTCAACGAGAACATAGGTTTCCATCATGATGGCATGTCGGTAGCATCTGGCGCAAATTCACTCGGCATAGTGTCGACCGGCTAGCATGTCATACTTGATTTGATTCGTTCATCAATAACTAATAGTTCATTTTGCCGATTCCCAGCGGTGGACCCAATATCGTAATCGTTGGGCTCTTCCAGCGTCGTTTGCAGGGTATCATGTTCCAAAATAAAACTCCAAGAAACTCAAAAAAGTCATACAGCCAACCCTTATGCATAGGATCCCATCCATCATTATTATACAAAGGCGTGCTCGTACATCCACCGTCGGCGTCCATTATGCCGCGAAGACAGTAGCGAGAACGACCACAACAACGGGCCAGAAACCGAGCGTCTCCACAGCGGTGCGGAAGGCAGCGGAGCCGACCTCGTCGGAACCGCCGGCAGCGGTCGTGCCGTTGGGCAGAGAGCCGTTGATGAGAATGGTCTCGTTACCGTTGTACTCGCCAATGTTGACGACGGACTTGTTCAGCGCGGCATAGCTGCCGTTGCCGAGGAGCGAGTTCATGTACTCGGTGCTGTTGTTCTCGTCGCAGCCGCAGGGCTGGTACTCTTGGCAACCGCACAGCACCGGCTTCGTCTGGTTCTGGCGGGCCGTCTCGTTGTAGTACCGGTACGGGTGGCTGTAGGGATACATGTGCGCGCCAAGCCAGAGACCGGGCCAGAAGGCCAGGGCACCACCAACGAGCAGGAACGGCACCATGTTGCCCCTCCTTGCGCCAGCCGAATAGGGCACCGTCGCGCCGCCGCCGTAGTATCTGCCGCCACCGTATGCTGGAACCGGTCCGCTTCCCGTCCTTGTCGATCCGCCAGAGCTATCGCGAGAACCGCCTCTCGAGGTACTTGATTTAGTGTTAGTCTGCTGTCTGCTGCTTCTACCTCTGCCCGAGGACGGCCACTTCCACCGTCCAGTTGACGAAGAAGGAGAAGAAGAAGACGGGGGTCTGTACCTGGAACCACCACTGCTGCTGCCGCCACTTTTTGAACCACCTGATGAACCGCCTTTTGATGAGCTTGATCCTGAAGAACCAGAGCCGGAGCTGGAGCCGCCGGAGCGACTGCCACCTCCCGACCGGGACCCACCTGAAGAAGAGCCTCCGCCGCGACCGCCGCCGCCGCCGCCACCGCCCTTGCGCTTCCACAGCTTCTCGTCCTGCTGGGTGTTATCGCGCTCGGATTTGGGGGCGAGAAATGCGACGTCGGAGCCGTGGAGACCGGGTTCCACGGCGGCGGCCCACGCGGGCGCGAGCAGCGTCAGCGCGACGACTGCGAGATCTAGTCTCATTTTCGCTTTCGATGGGATGTGTTTACTAGGCCCAACGATTTGGTAGGAAGGTAGGTAGGTAGGTGTGTGTATGCGACGTTGATCGAAATGTGATGCTGCAAAAATGCCAATCTACAATACGGGGTAGAGCCGTGCAAGTCTCGTGTGCGACTCGAAAGTGATCAGGCCGAGGTTTGAGATTGGTGTGAGCAAGATGTAAGATTTAAAGAGGTTGCAGGAATTGGCGGAAGTGGGAGCGAGAGGAATTTTGTCTCTTTCCCGTTTCAAGAGTGATGGGCAGGGCGTGTCAGAGTGCCAAGAGATTCGAAGTGTGATGGTCTATCCACACTGGCAGGGATGCTCGGACTGGTCCAATATGCCGTCAGACGATGGGCTATGTGATGTGTAATGGACTGTATGGCCTGGTTGCCACCACACTACTGAGTATGACGGATGGCCGGAAGAATTGGTACGCCCTGAAAGTTGTGTGGTTGCCTTCCTTGTCCTCCTTCCGCTCTTGATTGCTTGGCTGTGTTCGGTAGGATTTGGGTAAAGACGGAGTTCGGTTTACCGTTGTTGCTGGGGGGTAAGGTACTCTAGGAATTGGCGGCGGAGGACTTTCTTGGGTGTGTGCGGCGGTTGGAATGCGCGATGAAGTCAGGCCGTTGAAAGAAGGATTGGGGTCGGTGCGTGTCTTTCTTGGGATGTAGGGGTGTCGCAGTCTATGATGCAAGCAGGGGCGTTTGCCTGTCACTTGGTAAAGTTGGTAAAGTACCTTAGGGAGGCTCTTTGGCTTTTGGGTGAGGTGGTGTTCTCGAAAGCCTTGAAAGGAATGATGACGAGAGGGCAAGCGGGAGCCTTGAATATCTTATAATTCCAGACAGTGGAGGCAAAGCCTGTTGCATTTTTTCAATTTACATCACGATAGGCAACAAGCATTTGGTAAAGCCAGAAGGTTGCGGCACAGCCGAATGATCCTTCCTTCCTATGGATCCGCTCCCATCGTAAATCTTTACCATAGGCTGTTTCTCCTTTGCAAAATCCATGGCTGGCGTTGTCTGAGCCCTGACATAAGCTTCGGAGACGGCGTTTTCTCATGCGCCACCAAGGAGCATCATTTGTGATGGTACTCCGTATACCATCCACAGTTTACAAAATATCAAAAAAAGCATACCGACAAACGCAGTTGCTCACCACACACGCCGCCATCCGTTTGCAGTCGGCAAGGTCGTTTCCAACAGGGTACATAAAGAGTAAGCCCATCGTGCCTCCCTCCACCCAAAGCAAAGTGGAAAGAAGTTACGCCACGAATTGCGGCGGACGATCACCTGTCTAGTTCAATAAATCATTCCTTGCGCCGCTTGGTCTCTATCACCGACTCTCTACGGAATCGACAAAATCGAACAACCAACTGGGAATTTAGTGAGCGACAATCTCCAGCAGAGCAAAGCCGGGCGATGCTAAGAGGACTAGTTCGGGGACTTTGGGAGCCAGAGAGCAAGCTTGGAAGGTACCTTGGCACACAGCCATTCTCTCGCCACTAAAGATGTTTCTGCCTAATAAGAGCCCAGGGATGACATTGTCCCCTCCAACCATCTCGCTTATTCAAGCTTATTTGATGGCTAATGGTGATTGTCACGTTGAGCAATGACTCCCATTGAGGCTGTGCAGTGTGTACATCAGATTCCGACCGCCCCAGTTGGCGGAGCGGACAGCAGCTCGCACCTGCTCGCCTCTGATCTCACTTTCGTCACTCAGTGTGCCAACGTGCCAGCTAGGTATCGGAACGGGGTCTCATCACGGGCAATCGTACCCTCTCACTCTTATCCTCGCTCTTATGATCTGACTTGCTCACCGGCTCTGTTGTATTAAAGGTCATACAGGTACGAGCAGTGCACCAATACAGCCTATCAGCACCGAATCTTGATACCCCAGAGATAACTGGAACTTTTGGCCCCATATTCTTCAGCATTGGCTCTCTCGTCCCTGGATGCCTCGCGAGTTGCCTTGCGCCACTTTTTCGAACCCTTCCGACCTCGTGCTTCCTGCATAGTGTTGTTGCCTCCACAATCGGGCGGACATCTCAACTCCCTTGCATCAATCATACAAGCTCACCCGATTCAACTCATCACACCGATGTGCGGGGTCTCGTCTCCTCGGGTTCAAATTGTCTGACCAAAGTCTTCTTTCCGTATTACCCTTATACCCGCGTCCTACCTGCGCCTTCGGTCTCGGTCAGATTGAGGTCCAAAGGTCCAAAGGTCCAAAGGAAAACAGAGAAGGCCTTGAACATGAGCGGCCCCGACAAGAGTCTGCTGGACCGCTTGAGCGCCCTGAAAGGCGGCAGTCCCGGAGTGTCATTGAACAGGTCATCAAAGTAAATAAGAAGAAAAGACCACCGGCATCTTCGGGACCACCAATTTGCTAAGGTTTTCTATTACAAGTGCCCTGAATATCTCCCTCACGGGCATCGAGCCAGCAAAGCCGCCCTCGAGGGAGGATGCACTGGCCGCTCGGTTGAGGTCTCTGAGGAATACACCCGAGCGCGAGGAACCGCCCCAACAGTCCGCAAAGGTCACCACACCAGCGAGCTCTCGTCTCGGTCAGCAGTCTCCGGCGTCCCCATCTCGGACATGGTCCCACACGGGCGGACCAGCAGTAGCAGCACCGCCTCAGTCACAGCCGCAGCAGCAGCATCAGTCCTCGAGATCGCCCGCGCCGTCGTCCACCACCGCTCCGGCTCCGGCGGCTCCGACGGTAGAAGCGGGGGATGATGACGTCGATCCCCTCCTACGAACAGATGACCAGACCCTCGAAGATCTGCTCAGCGATGAGGACTTTGGTGGTGCGCCGCAGCAGTGGCAATCCGACCCCAATGATGAGTCCGCCAAGGTGAACGCCCTTCTAGAAGAACTCTCGAAGACTTCGGTGGACCCATCCCGGGGCAATGAGCAGGATCATTCCGATGATGATGACTCGGATGGCGGGGAAATGGGCCGCGAGGTAAATGACCTGCTCTCACAGGCTCTGGAGGAGGCGAAGTATAACTCTCGGCGTGAGCCTATTCCACCAACGTCGGGCGATGAGGGCCAAGATACCTCGCGGAAAGAAGATCATCAAGGTGAAGGTGATGGCGACACGGAGCTCTCCCTCCCCTCGGTACCTTCGACCATCGCAGCCCCCAAGGCAGACGACGAAGCCCACGGCGGCGGCGGCGGCTGCGGCCTCCCTGACCTAGGGCTTCCCTCCGTTCCATCCAGCGCTCCCAAGCACGACGACGCATCAAGCTTTGACAATGACATAGCAGCCCGCATGGCCGCACTCAGTGGTCTTGGGGGAGCCTCGTCAGACGGCGGCGGCGGCATGGGTCTACCCTCCGTACCGACCTTCCAGCCCGCAGACCGCCCCGTGCAGCAGAAGCGTCTGACATCCAAGACGGGCTACACTGACGAGGATGCCGCGACGTGGTGTACGGTCTGCCTGGAGGACGGCACGCTGCAGTGCCTGGGCTGCGAGGACGTCTACTGCACCAGGTGCTGGCATGAGATGCACGTCGGCCCGGCGGCGGCCTTTGACGACAGGACGCACAAGGCCGTCCGATTTGTCAAGCCGGGCAAAGATAGCGAAAGACGGGTCATGCTGGGAGCGTCATGAGGAGAACATGTAAACAATGTTTGTGCATTCTGTGTCGCTTAAACGCAATAAAAGACTACCGACCCAGCCCGTTTCCTTCCCGCCATCGTGTGTGTGTGCCTTGGCCCGTGTTCCAATACAAAATTCCGCGCTTCCCATACCGTCGATGACATGCCATGTGCTTGTTTACAACCCTTCCCGTATATGCTCGGCACAATACTTCTGTTATCATGGGTATTCCTACGACTCAACTACGCCTCGGAGGACCCGGCACCATTGTTCCCCTCCTGCGTACCGTAACTGGTCTTCTTCGTGCGTCCCGTGATATCCTGCCATGTCGCTCCGAATCTGCGACCGGTGCTCGCCAGCAATCCCTCCTCTTCGTCCTCCTCGGCGTCCTCGTCAACTTCGGACACATTGAGCTTGGGGGCGCGGAAGAGTCCAGTGACGAAAATAATGAGGAAGATACCGAGGAAGACGAATTGGGCCCAAAAGTCTACCAGGCCAAAGAAGGGCCATGTGATTGCGATGCGGTTGAGAAACTCGGCCATGATGGAAGGCGTGCAGACCTTGAGGGCCTCGGGATCCAGCGCCTCAGAGCACTGCACCAGATAATCCGGCCTGTCCTTACAATCCGGGGTCTCGCCAGCGTGGTGAGGAGCTGTGCAGTATGTCTGAGTGCCGTACATGGAGTACTGGGGGGCAACCATGTTCGCGATAGTGTAGTTGATAGCAAGGATAATGAGGGCTAGCATGACTGTCGCAATGAGGAGGGCTTGCGGCGCAGTACGTCCCTTACGGATCTGGAAGATGCGAACCCACAAGAAGCGGATGCCGATGGTGGCGATGCCCGTAATTGAACTGCTGAAGAAGAAGAGGACCAGGAGGGCCATCAGGACGTAGTCAATCGGGAAGGCCTTGGCGGACTGAATGAAGATCCAGTTGATGGGCTGGAAAATGTTGATGTGACCTAGGATGTAGCCGCACTTGCCCTTGCAGAAGGAGTTCTTCGCCTTGTCGATACCCGTAATCAACATGGAAACCCAGATCAGGACGGAAAGCAAGAGCAGTAGGATACCGCCGAGAAGTTTGATGGGCCGGAAGACGGCGCAGACCTTGAGCCAAAATCTGTAAATGGAGCTGCGACCTTCTCCGGAGGCCTCGGCTGCTAGTCTCTCGCGACGCGTCAAAGTGCGCTCCTCGCGAACCAGTGCCTCGAGTTCGCGCCTGTCCTTGGACGACATACCCTCAGGACGACCGGCGTTGCGCATTTCAAGCTGGCGCTGGCGCTCCCGGTTCTGCTCCAAAGCGGTTGCGGTGCTCTCGGTAAGTTGAGGCGCAGAAATCGACGGCGCAGACTTGATGAAGGACATGGGAAGCAGGGCCAGTCCAGCTGCTGTGTAAATGACGTACAGCAGAATTCCGAGGGTGACGAGGAGTCCAAGAGCAAAGGCAAGCGCCTTTTGGCCGTTATTCTGAACTAGAATGCGCTTGAAGTAATCCAGGTCCCAGTGAGCACCGTTGTGATCACCAGCTGCCGGTACGAAGAAGCCGACCAAGAAGAGGATCAGGACCAGGATAACGAAGACGAGTGTGTACTTCAGCGCGCTGATGAGGCGGCTGCCGAACGACCGGCCTTCCTCGACTTCGATCTCATCGTATTCCTCGTGCCAGAAGTAGGCGAACGGGATAATCAAGAGACACAGCAGAGCATCGAAGCTATAGAGGGAATAGTAGACGATGCGCAGTGTCTGAAGGATATCGTGAACTCGCGCCTCGGTAGCCCAATCCTTCTTCACGCCGAGCGATGCGTGTGTTGTGGATGAAATGAGGGCGATGTCGACAGGCAGTAGAAGGACGGTTGCTAGGAGGGCCGTCAAACTGACAATAGCGACAATGCTGACTATAGCGGATCGCTCCCGGGGCGTCTGCCAGGTGAAGGTGGTAATGATGGCTGCCAGGAGGCAGAAGACGACTGCGGCGGCGTAAGCCACCCAGATGAGACTGGTCTGGAGCAGGCCTGCGTTGGCCATGATGAATCGTGGTTTGGCCGTATGGATGCAGCGTACGATGGCGATTCTTTGGACCGTAGACCTTTGTTGATGTTTTGCGAGGAATCAATGAGTCTGGCGCAGAGCTGTGGGCATCGTCATTGTTTCACTGCTTAATTCCTCGGTGCTTGGGGAGCTCTAGCTTAGCATGCCTCAGTAGAGGTTGCGCCGGGTGACGTAACACGGGCAGCAGAGTTGCCTGAGCTGCTAGCTCCTGCCGTGGCGATAGGTTTAGCGAGGCCCCAGCTCCCAGTCAATCTCTACGCAGTAAGGTAGCCTGCCTGCCTTAGTGTGCTGCACCTGAGCGTCACAATGCTGATAAGGGGCATGGGGGGGCTGCTGAGTGCTGCAAGTGCTGAGGCCTAGATCGCTGTAGGCCTGCGGCAGCACCTGCACCTGCAATATTGGACGCCCCGGAGCTTCGGCTCTTTCTTTGATCCGCTTGCCCAAATCTCACCAATGAGACTGCGTGACACGCTTCCATGGGCTTTTGCGCGACCAGAGCTCTTGGAAGGACGGGAGCTAGGTATTGTTCTATTGACTTGCGACAGACAACCACCTATCTCGCGCTTCTGCAAGCCCACGATCCTATACATCGCCCTCATACACTAATGACAGCAAGGACATCGGAGGCAATTGACTGAAACTGCCAAGATGCAGTGCTATACAGAGCTCACGCCACCCACTGGTGTGCAGTACAGTCTCAGCTTGCCCTTCATCTCAGCGCAAAGCAACAATCTGGTCGTCGCAAAGGGCTCTTTACTGCAGATCTTTTCGACAAAGACCATTTCTTCCGAAGTCGACACATCACAGACCCGAGAGCAACAGGTTTCCAGGGCCGATGAGCCTTACGACCGCCGATTGAACGACGATGACGGCCTCGAGTCCTCCTTCCTGGGCGGCGACGGCATGCTGGTTCGCGCCGACCGATCAAACAACACCAAGCTCGTGCTTGTCGCCGAATTCCCCATATTTGGCATTGTGACGGGACTGGCGAGAATAAAATTGCAACACTCCAAGTCAGGAGGTGAAGCTCTCCTGATTGCTACAAGAGTTGCCAGGCTGAGCTTGGTCCAGTGGGATCCCGAGAAACACGCACTCGAGGATATCTCCATCCACTACTACGAGAAAGAAGAACTGGAGGGCTCGCCATTCGATGGCCCATTGAACAATTACCGCACATACCTTGCTGCCGATCCGGGTTCGCGATGCGCCGCCCTCAGGTTTGGCCCCAGATATATCGCCTTTCTCCCGTTCAAGCAAGCCGATGAGGACATAGATATGGATGACTGGGATGAAGATGTGGATGGACCTCGGCCGGCAAAAGAGCCGTCAGCTGCAGCGGCCTCAAATGGAACTAGCAACATAGCAGATGTACCATACTCAACATCATACGTCCTCCCTCTACCGCAGCTTGATCCCAGTCTCCTTCATCCTGTGCACCTCGCCTTCTTGCATGAGTACAGAGAGCCCACCTTTGGCATCATATCCTCGACACAACGCCGCTCCCACACCTTACCTCGCAAGGACCACTTCTCTTACAAGGTCTTCACGCTCGACTTACAGCAGAGGGCCTCGACCGCGATTCTCTCCGTCAACAACCTTCCCCAGGATCTCTTCAAAATCATTGCCTTGCCAGGTCCTGTCGGTGGCGCTCTGCTCGTCGGCACGAACGAGTTGATCCACATAGATCAATCCGGAAAGCCGAATGGTGTGGCCGTCAATGCCTTCACCAAGGAAACTACAAACTTCCCTCTTGCAGATCAGTCTGATCTGGACTTGCGGCTCGAGAATTGCTATATTGAACTCATGTCTGCGGAGAATGGGGAGTTGCTGATGGTTCTAAGCGACGGGCGACTGGCCATCATCACGTTCAAAATTGACGGACGCACAGTCTCAGGGGTCAGCGTCAAGCTCGTCTCAGCCGAGGTTGGCGGCAACGTTGTCCAATGCAGCGTTTCTTCTATTTCGAAGCTCAGCAAGAATGTTTTCTTCTTGGGAACTACGGGAAGTGATTCCCTTGTTCTCGGCTGGACACGAAAGCAGGCGCAAAATGCACGCAGAAAAACACGGTTAGTCGACGATTCCTTCGAGTACGACCTGGAAGACGAGGATATGGATGATGACGACGACGACGATCTGTACGGTGAAACGACAACAACAATGATCCAACCCGGTGCGACTGCCAATGGGGTTTCTAAAGGAGGAGAGTTGAGTTTCCGCATCCACGATTCCTTGCTGAGCATAGCGCCCATCAAGGATATGGTGTCGGGCAAGCAAGCGTTCGTCCCAGATAGCGAGGAAGAGAAGAACTCAATTGGTGTTGTATCTGACCTGCAGCTCGCTTGTGCGGTGGGTAAGGGCAACGCCGGCGCTGTTGCTATCATGAACCAAAACATTCAGCCAAAGGTCATTGGCAAATTCGAGTTCCCGGAGGCTAGAGGATTCTGGACTATGTGCGTCCAGAAACCCATTCCAAAGTCTTTGCAGGGCGATAAGGGGGCCAATGCCGCGGTTGGCAGCGAGTTTGACGCTTCATCTATATATGACAAGTTTATGATTGTTTCCAAGGTCGATCTAGATGGATATGAGACGTCAGACGTTTATGCTCTTACTGGCGCAGGCTTTGAGGCGTTGTCAGGGACCGAATTTGATCCCGCGGCTGGCTTTACGGTGGAGGCGGGTACTATGGGAAAACATTTGAGGATCATTCAAGTTCTCAAATCGGAAGTACGGTGCTACGATGGAGGTAAGTCATGTTGTACTCTGTCTGAGGCGGTCGTCATCGTCGCTAACCATTATTCAGATCTCGGGCTGAGTCAAATTCTTCCGATGCTCGATGAGGATACCGGCGCCGAGCCACGGGTGATCAGCGCCAGCATCGTTGACCCTTACCTTCTCCTAATCCGAGACGACTCAAGCATTATGGTGGCCCAGATCGACAGCAATTGCGAGTTGGAGGAGATGGAAAGAGCAGACGACACCATTCTCTCAACCAAGTGGCTTGCAGGGTGCCTGTACAAAGACATGAACGGTCGTTTTGGCCAAAAGACAAAAAATGAGGCCGGACCAGAAGATCACAACATTTTCATGTTCTTGCTGAGTGCGGCAGGAGCTCTCTACGTGAGTATTCAGCATTCTCCTGCTGGCACACACTTTTGCTAATCGATTTACAGATATACGCCCTCCCTGACCTTTCCAAGCCAGTCTACGTTGCTGCTGGCTTGACCTATGTTCCCCCTTTCCTCTCTGCGGACTATGCCGTCAGACGAGGCACCGTCCAAGAGACACTGACTGAAATCTTGATGGCTGACCTTGGGGACGCTACCGCGACTTCACCACACCTCATCGTAAGTCTTCTTGATTTGAAGGCGTTGGTAGCCTCCACTAATCTTTTGTAACAAAAGCTCCGTCATGCAAATGACGACCTTACTATATACGAACCGATTCGTCTCACAACACAGGATGAATCCGTGGGTCTTGCCAAGACTCTTCATTTCCGCAAAGTCAACAATCCTTCTCTAGCCAAGAGTCCTGTTGAAGTTGCTGACGATGACGCTAACGAGCAACCGCGCTTTGTTCCACTCCGAGCCTGCAGTGATATCAACGGTTACAGCACTGTCTTCTTGCCTGGCGCTTCGCCGTCCTTCATCATCAAGTCCGCCAAGAGCAGTCCGAAGGTTGTCGGCCTGCAGGGTATTGGTGTACGTGGCATGAGCTCATTCCACACCGAGGGCTGCGAGCGTGGCTTCATTTACGCTGATTCCGAGGGCCAAACGCGAGTCACACAGCTCCCCGCGGACGCGAACTTTGCTGAACTCGGCGTTTCTGTGCGCAAAATTCCAGTGGGTGATGCGGTTGGCCTGATTGCCTACCATCCGCCAATGGAGACCTACGCCGTTGCGTGCAGTGTCTCCGAGGCCTTCGAGCTGCCAAAGGACGATGACTACCACAAGGAGTGGGCTAAGGAAACCACGACCATATACCCCCGGACCGAACGTGGCATCATCAAGCTCATGAGCCCGACCACGTGGTCCGTCATCGACACGGTGGAGCTCGAGCAGCACGAGGTAGCGATGTGCATGAAGACGCTTCACTTGGAAGTCTCCGAAGAAACCAAGGAGCGCCGTATGCTCATTACTATCGGTACCGCCATTAACCGCGGCGAGGACCTGCCCATCCGCGGCCGTATCCTCGTCTACGACGTCGTCCCTGTCGTCCCGCAACCCGGCCGCCCGGAGACGAACAAGAAGCTCAAGCTCGTTGCCAAGGAGGAGATTCCCCGCGGCGCTGTCACCGCTATCTGCGAGGTCGGCTCGCAGGGGCTCATGCTCGTCGCTCAGGGACAGAAGTGCATGGTGCGCGGTCTTAAGGAGGACGGCACGCTACTGCCCGTCGCCTTCATGGACATGAACTGCTACGTGACGGCGGTCCGCGAGGTCCGTGGCACGGGCTACTGTCTCATGACGGACGCTTTCAAGGGCGTATGGTTCGTCGGGTATGCCGAGGAGCCGTACAAGATGATGCTCTTTGGCAAAAGCGCGGGCAAGTTCGAGGTGTCGACGGCCGACTTTGTTGTTGCTGGCGACGAGCTGCATATTGTCGTCTGTGACAAGGACGGCGTGATCCATGTGATGCAATTCGATCCGGAGCGTGAGTCCAACTCTTGAGCACTATCCAATCGTCCACAGTCCCAGAAACTAACACTATTTACAGATCCCAAATCACTCCAGGGCCATCTCCTCTTGAACCGTGCCTCCTTCTCTGCGGCACCAAACCACCCAACAGCAACCCTCTCCCTCCCCCGAACCTCGGCGTCCCCGTCGCCCGCCAACGCCTCCAAGAACCCGCCCACGACCCTCCTGCTCGCCTCCCCAACGGGTGCCCTCGCCTCCCTCAACCCCCTCGGGGAACAAGCCTACCGCCGCCTGACGTCCCTCGCCAACAGCATCGCCGGCGCCGTGCCGCAGGCCGCGGCCACGAACCCCAAAGCCCACCGTCTGCAGCCCCTCGACGCGCGCACGCCCGGCGTCGACACCAGCGCGGGCCGCAGCATCGTCGACGGCGCGCTCCTCGCCCGCTGGAACGAGCTCGGCGCCGGGCGCCGGTTCGAAGTCGCCGGCAAGGGCGGCTACGGCGACGTCCTTGAGGTCAGGGGCGAGTTGGAAGGTGTCTTGGGTTGGAGCGGCATGGCCTACTTTTAAAGAAGCAGAATTTTTCAGCCATTCTTTTAGGTAGATCTAAAAATGAGGTGAGAATTTGGAATTTCGGGGAATGAATGAGAGACAGAATGGGGGATTGAGAACGAAAAGCATGATAAGGAGCTGCTGATGGGTTTCTGGTCTTCTTGCAGCTTTTTCGTATCATGGACGAGCAAACATCGAAAATAGAGCAAAGCGTAACGCTCGTGTAGTATACTTCATTTCAAGGCGTCATTTCTCCGACCGACAAAGACTTTGTGAGAAAACGTCAACGCAGCGCGCATCTCAGGTCGTGGGACATTTCTTGACATACATGGTGTAGAAAATGTAGAAAAATATCATACTAATGGGTATACTATTTACTTAAACTAAGAAGATTCCCGCTTCTTTTGATAATGCGGTATGTCGTTCGCGGACTCTTGCTCTTTGGCAAAATGACGATGCCAACTCCTCTTCATCAATGTCTTTGCTCCTTGACAGTCAAATGCATACTGTGCACTCTGACTCCACTCTAACAATTTTCCCGCCATGAGGCATCTTCGTTCGGGCACAAAACCTCTAAATCGTACACGTGCCGGAATAAGCGACACTGATTGAAACATTGAAAGTCGGCGTTTGTTGAAACATTAAGTCTTGTCGCCGCCACGATGATACGTGGAAAATAATCGCGTTTTATTCGCAAGACATCTACGCCGCAGCGTGGTTCTTGCGACGGATGCTACCGAAACGACGCTTCAGGCTGTCGCCGAAATGCTTGCCGGTACTGTTGTGGCGATGGACGTCGGCGCTGTTTGATTGTCCCTTAGGCAACTCGGAGGGGCCGGGTCTTCCGTCTGCAGCATTGCTGACACTGCGCTGGCGTACCATTGCCCCGTTGTCCTTACGTGACTGGGCGTTGATGCCGGAGCGCATCTCGTATTCTGCGGGGCTGTTGCCGAGAGACGCCTTACGCATACGCTTCTTCTCCTTAAGATCTCTCTCGTAGGTGTAAGAAGGCTCTCCTTTTCCCTTCAGATCATCGGGATGGTATTGCTGTGTCCATTAGTCTCAAGCTCACGTTGCAAAATTTCAGAACTGGTGTCGACTTACAATTCCATCCCATCTCTTGTAAGCGCCACCTTGATTATTAGGCTCACGCATGAGATCGGCTCCTTCCTCATAGTTCATAACGTTGCCGCTCATGTCAGTGCCACCGGCGGGAATGAGGCCTGTACCTTGCAGCGGCACATGCTTATCCAGGGAATCCTGAATATATTCGCGTGGTGTAGCCCTCAGGGCCTCCATGTTGGACTCCTTCACAGCCTCGACAGGCGCATACCTCTTGTTACGGTTGCGGGATGCCAAAGTAGCATCATATGGGCCGCCGTGATGGTACACGCCGCCGATGCTGTCGAGCGAGTCAATAGTGTCCGTCACGGGGCCATATTTGCGTGTCCTAAGGTGAGGCGCGCGGTCTGCGGCGCGCTGCTCGCGCTTGATCATGTCTAGAGGCCGATGAGACATATCGCCGGGGAATCTCTGGTTGATGGAACTGGAACGTCTAAGACCGCTAGAGCCTTGGTGTGAGTTCACGCTCTTGCTGCGCTGAACTGAAGAATCAGATTGGGCTGCGTTCGACTCAGCGATAGAGCGAGTGCGTGCGCTGATGCTCCGAGTGACACTTGTGCTTGGTGGGAACCGGTTGCTTGGCGAAGACGGGCTTCGGAGACCGTTGCTTCGAACACTGGTGCTGCGGCCTAGGGGATGGTTTGGCGAAGATGGTGATGTTGGAGAAACAGGTCCTCTTGACAGGGACAACGAAGCGCGTTGATAAGTCGGTGAAAACGGATTAGACGAGTGAAAGCTGGACCGAGTTGGGCTTGCGGATGCAGGCGGAGTGGGATATGATGAGGTACGGCTGTGAGCTCTGTGACTGGTCTGGCTCTTGTCGCTACTCTGAACTGGTTCTTTGCCTTTCTTCTTCTGCGAGAAAGTTCGAAGCAATGGATCGGGGTTTATGAAGGAGCTTCCGGGACCTGTTTCTTGGCTTGGTTCGGGAGCAGTAAGAGGGTCGAGCAAATATGCTTTAGCCTACAAAAGTTGAGTTAATCGATGAGTTGGGTGTGAAATGGTAGAACAAATGTGAGTCAAAGTTAAGTAACATGAGGAGAAAGGAAGTATAAGAGCACCGAAAGGCCGCGCATGCTTGTGTGGAAGGCCCCGTATTATTTACGTCGTCGAGGGCTTAGCTGCAGTACGAATGATGTGAGGCAGAGTTCGGAGCTGTTCTTGGAAATCCGGCAGATTGGATGGGCAGTGACGCAAGAAGGGACTCTAGAGCAGCGTGGTCGGGGTGGCTTGAGCCGTGCATTGCAGGGGACCCGTCCGTACCTTAGCGACCAGCGCATCTAAGTTGGCAGGGGTAGCTTGGACGGAGAGGGTGGCTTTGAAGAACAAGTTCGGGCGCAAGCAGCTGGGGCCGTCGGGTGCCCTGACAGGATAGAAAGGATGGGCGAGACGGGACGATCGGCTTCGACCAAGGCTGACGACACTTGAACAAGGTGACTGGTTGGGCCGAGACCTGCTTGGGTGCCCGGGAGTGACGGAATTTGGAACGTTGGGAGACGGGCTAGAAGGGCAATGATAAGGCCGCAGATGCGACGGTGACGGGATCGGAAATGTGGAGAAAAGCGAGAATAGAAAAAGAACCGTGGGCGATGACGATGTTGGCAGTAGCGCGCAATCGGGAAATGAGCAAAAAGATAATCTTAACAACAGCATCAACTGGCACTTGTAATAGTGTGCGGTGCGCCGGGGTAGATAGAAGTGAATTGGAGTTTGGCCAGGCCATTGACTTACCCACTGCTTGTCGGACCCGTCCATGATTACTGACGTCGATGCGACAATGCCGGTGATTGGGCGTATATCCTTACGGTGAGGTAATGGGGTACCCGGTGCACAGGCGAAGTCGTGAAGACGGGGTCGAGGTAGGGATAGAGATGAGCAGGTGGTCTAGCGGGAGCCTTGAAAATGGCCGACAGCTCAATGACTGGAGATTGCGATGTTTATTTCGAATGATCCGAAAGCGAGTCCGTCCTTTGCCAAGACAACGAAGTGATCTCGGCGTAGACGGTGTAAGCAACACACCGAAGGTGAGTTTGCGGATGGTAGTGGGACAGTTGAAGTGTTGTGTCAAAAAAGAAGCATGCGAGATGCAAAGCGAAGCGAAGCAATGCAATGCAGACAAGAGACGAGAGTTGAGAGAACGTGGAAACCTGGGGCACCCCAAAGTAGGCGCGAGTGCCCTTTTGATAGTTTCCAGCGTCGTCCGTTGTTCCGTTTGGTGGGAAAGAAGCAAGGTGCTTGCCAGGCGAGGGGCAATAGAGTCATGAGCATAAGGGTGGGCGAGATGCCGACGACAGGCACAGCCAGTCCAGGCCCGTTCCTCCTACCTTGGACTTGTAGACCCCGTCCTTGTAAGGCAGGTCGGCTGCATGTGAGTGAGACTACAACTGTCCGTACCTTACCATGTACACAATAAGGTAGGCGATGAGAGTGTGAGTAAGTGAGTGTGTTCAGCAAGCGCAGAGAATTCTGCGCTTGTTGCTTGGACTTCCGGGAAGATGCCAGCGTGGGAAGTGACCATCATGGGACCTGCGCTGACTGGGGCAACCGAGCTTTCCATTGGTGACATGTACACTACATACCTGCCTTACTGCATAAAGTAGCGACCTCGTTTGTGGTGTTTTCTGTGATTTGTGGCTGCAGTGACAAGGACCTGGACTTGGGAGCTTTCATGTCTGGTGGGAAGGAGGGGAGGGGATGGAGGGTAAAGAAAAGGACTGGACCGAGACCGCATGACTGACTGGTGTGGGCAGGTACGCGAGACGGCGGGGAACCTGCTTCCTGCCTTACCTAGGTATTGTCCGAGGGTGCTTTCCATTTGCAGTGTTGGGCAATTTTCTCAAAGGACGGGAAGTCACTGTCCAGGGTAATAGTACCAAATGATTGGAGGCTCTCCCTCGTACGATATCTGCTATCGTACCTTGCATTATCTTGTCTTCCTTCCTGAACAGGTTGAAGAAAGAATGTCAGCACCCATCACCAACTTCTCCTCGACATGTTCGCTGATCAAGACTTCGCAGTCTCCCTTGACCCAGCATCACGAGATCGCTACCGAACCACTACTGTCCCCCCAGCCTCTCCGGCATCTCTCACGTGCGGTTCCATCTTCTCCTCTTCCCCTCAGCGGCTCCGCTCAGACTGTCACGATCCCTGCAGGGTCTTGTAACGGCATCCTCGAGGGGGCACGAATAGGTAGGGCAAGACACGAGAGCAAACGAACATTTGCCCGCTAAATTGACTTAGCTCAGCCACAGGCACCCGATAACGGGACACGCGGACCCTTGAATAACGTCTAGTCGGACATCGCATTGGTTACTGAGCCGTACGTCATGCCATTGGCAAAGTAAAAAAATCCTCTAGTCAGGGGATCGGCAACCACAGCATCCCACTTCACCTTTTCACCAATCCACCTCACATCTCCTCCGTACACTACTGTGGTATGTAGCCTTTAGCTTCCACGTATCCCGCAACTCTTGCAGGGCTGATATGGCAGCCGCGAAATCACAAAAAACTAAACCAGACTTAGTACTCCGTAGTGCTGCGCAAATATAGAGTCGGAATGCGCGGATATTTGGACGTAAACGGCACCGACACCGGCAACTAATATGAACAAAGGAACGGAGATACAACGGAGCCTCCGTGGCCGAAGCGTCAACGTACGCCTCATCCGCCTCCGCTTCTGCCACTCTGTCAGCACTCAACACGCAAGGGACTCGCGGCATACCCAGACCGCATAACGGGGTCATACGGGAAGGGTTCGGTCCACGTCCCATTTGTCAGGGTAATGCTTGCCCGCGACACCTTGAGGGAATACGTTGTCCAACCGGGAACACCCTTCACCGCCAGCAACTAAGAGCAGTGAGCTTAAAATTATGGTCGTCGGCATTTCCTGACAGGCCTAGAGAAAAATCGAGCAATGGGGCTCTCATTTGCACAACCTTATGCCGAGCTCATGGCAGCAGGAGACTCACAGTCAAAGTATTGTCAGACCCTATGCCAGAGGAACTTCTTGAACTTGTGAACATATTGTAAGGCAAGAAAAGCCTTTCTGTAGCCCGGATGCCTGGCACCAGTGGGTGGAAAGGCGTTGCTCTGTGTTGCGTGCCTGGGCGCACCTCGATCGAGATCTTGCAATAAAGCTTCGGCCGCATGGTGCTTCTCACCACAGGCAGACCGCCACGGCCGGTGCCCGCTTCATCCTCTTCCACCTACGGACACCAAATGCCTCCGTCCTGTATTACGACCTTTCCCAACCACCATTAGACGCTTTCAGGCGACGAGGTGTTGGATCAAGAGCGCCGGACTTGCTCAACGCCTATTGGCTCAATTACCTCGTCAGTGACGCAGAGACACGCATCACACGGATATTCTCTCCGGTCTTCTTGTTGTCGATCCCTGGCACCCGGCAATGGCTCTGGTGGACTACTCGTCATCTGACTCAGCTTCAGAGGCTGGGTCACCTCCGGCCAAGCGGCGCAAAGAGGATACCCACGGCTCCGTGCCAGCCGGCCCTGCACCTGGCGCCGGCGCCGGTGGTCAAAAAGTAACGCAGCACAACCATCCCGCCTCGTCGACCACGAAGGAGACAAATGGCGGCACATTGACGCTTCCGCCCCTCCCGGACGAGTTCCACGACCTGTACGCCTCTACGGTCCGAAATGCCACTGCCGACAACCCAGCCCTGCACCAGGGCCGAAAGAGGACCATTCCCCATATTGTCGGCAACTGGCCCTCTCACGTATACGTTGAGTGTTAGTCTCAGCCATTTCATTCTCTCGTTGCCACACCCACCTGGAACCATCCCAACTAATCTCTGCATGTAGGGCATCCGTCTGCGGACCAGCATTCTCTCCTCACTGCTCTGCTGGATGAAATCGCGCCTCTGCTTGGCACGCGGGAGCTGACCTCGCTTCTAACTTCGGACCTCAACGCCCCTCTGCCACTCCACATCTCGCTCTCGCGGCCTCTGTCCCTGACAATGACTCAAAAGGACGCCTTCCTCTCCTCCTTGACATCTTCTCTGTCTTCCACTACCGGCGAGTTCAGTCTATCGCCTCGTGGCCTAGGCTTCTTTAAATCGCCAGACTCGGACCGGGCCTTTCTCGTACTCCGCGTAGCATGCCCAGCCGACTCATCGCAAAGTGACACCGCCACCGGCAGCAACCCGCACCTCCGTACGCTTCTCAACAAATGTAACGGCGTCGCCGTACGTTTCGACCATCCGCCCTTGTATCAAGCCCGCGCGACTGAGCTAGTTGACGACGCGTTCCACGTGAGCATTGGGTGGGCGTTTGGGCTCCCCGAAGAAGACGAGTGCCTGCGCACCTATGCCCTGCTGAAGACGCCGCGGTTCCGTGGCATTCGGAAGTGGCAGATTGATGTTTCGGGTGTCAAGGCCAAGATTGGCAATGTTGTCACTCACATCCCTTTGAGTAACACATCCAAGAAGAGAAGGAACAGCACCACGGAGGACAGCGTGTATGAGTAAAGCATTCGCAGGCATTTGTATGATACCAAGAAACGGAAGCCGATTTTTGGGGTGCTGGCATCGATTTGTATGTACAGACACGTCACGATACTAGTCTAGGAGCATTCTAGCCCCGTAAAAATGGGAATCAAGAAACGCCATTTGCCCCCGCCCGGCCATGCAAAGTATAACGATATGCCATGCTAAGATTTTTAACAACAAAAACTAACAATGGAATGACAGTCCCATCAACAGCTGGTCTACAACTCGTCTACGACCGGCCGCTCAAAGTGCCATGTTCTAGGTGTGAGGGGCAGGCCGACAAAGTACTGGTAGAATCGCAGTATCTCGAAAAGAACAACATTGAAGCTGTTTGACGGTTGTTAGTCTTCTATCCACTGCGGTTTAACTGTGATGATGTTTTCGACTTACATAGTTTTGGGAGCCTGAATCCATCTGCGGACAACAAACTTGAAGGCCTTGTAAATACGGCCAAACTCTTCGTCAAACATGTCCGCCAGGGTGTCTTCCTTGAGGGGCTCGTCTTCGCCGTACTCGTCCTCGGGATCGACCTTCTTGGGCTCGGCTTCTGGTGAAGTCACCACGTTGTGCGGCTTCTTGGCCCGGTCGGGGATCGGGCTAGAAGACTTGGCCGCCGCGGCAGCTGATGCAGCGGCGAGGGCCTCCTCGGAATCAACCATCGCGCGAAACTTGTTGATGGCCGCGAGAGAGCTGCTGATGCGGGCATACGTGTTGAACAGGGCCACCAGCTCGGTGCGCTTCAGGACGGGGATATCCTCGCTGGCATTGTCGAACTCGAAGAGGACCTTGAGTGCGGTGCCGTATCCGTTGGTCTGGAGCTTGCCCCAGAGGCGGCACTTGTCGCAGCCGACGCAGTCCATCACGCGGCTGACATTGCGGAAGCGGTTGCGGAAGTCCTCCTTCAGCGACGGGCCCTCACCGTTCTTAAACATGAGGCTCTCGTCAAAGATCTGGGGTACGCTCGCCGCTCCTTCGGTGACCTCGAGGACCTTGGACCGCGTCGCGGCATCTTGATCAATGTCGCCCGAGCAGAAGGTGTAGTCGCGGCCCTGGAGGTAGGGACCGAGCTTGGCAACGGCACGGGTGACGAGGGCGTAGTTGAAATAGAGGTTGCTGATCCGCTCGGGGTGGGTGTGAAGGCGGCCGCGGTAGCATGCCACGTTGGGCTGCCATTCACCGGTGGTCTGGTTGAGGAAATCCCAGCAGAGATGGGTGCTGATGCTCGCGTGCATGCCGGAGATGACACGATAGAAGACGCGCTTCTCCAAGCACTCGTCGCCGGCCTCTAAGCCAGTCTGGGCTGCAAACGGGGCATTAGGCTGCGTCTCGCGCATCTGATCCAGAGCCTGCTGGCGCCCGACTGCCTCGAGAACCTGACGGAAGTCCTGTGCGGCGGGGCCCTTGTGGGGGATCTGCGACTGTCCTAGGGATGCAGAGTGCGGGAAAGAGCTCTTCTGGAAGCAGTTCTCGCGATAGATGGCATCCCAGACTTGCGCGGCGCCCATGCCAGCGTAACCAGTGAATCGTTCGGGGTTGCGGAGGAGGCTGACGTAGTCGCCCTTGGAGCTCGCGCTCTCGTCTTCGGGGACACAGTAGTCTCGCTCGTCGCACTCGTCGTCGTATTCCACCACACAGCTCTCGCCGACCTCCAGGCCTAGTTTGCCTTGTAGCGGCCGCTCGGGGCGCTCGTGTTGCACTTTTCGAGGGGGGTGTTTCGCCAGCGGGCCTTCCAGCTTTCCGAGCTCACTCGCCCTCCAGACTTCGGGGATGTCCTCCTCATTGTCGAGCGTCTCTACGGCGCAGGCAATGTTGCCGCACATGCCATTTTCATCGTTCCAGAAAGGGCACTTCTTGTGGAAAAGGTTCAGTCGGTAGTGTGAGAAGAAGTCGGTCGATCTCGTGAGGTCGTCGACTAGGGGTTTGACCTTGGTGTTCAGTTTATCGAGGGTAGAGTAAGAGGCGCATGCATCGGAAACAATGGCCTTGGGGGAGATCTGGTACGACGAGTTAGAGAGAGAAATCCGGTACTCAGACACTGCGGCGGTGACGTAGGCCCTCGAGAGGAAGAGAAGGAAAAAGTAAACGGCGGCATACCGCACAATCATCTTGGGCACTCTCGCATTGGACTGGAGAGCCCCAGAGTGCAAACACAGAGAGGAAGAATAGTCTGCTGGCAGACTTCATGGTGATCGTCTCAAGCTCCCAGCTTCGTGGGACGGGTGGCTGATCGGAGGGTTTAATATGCAGCTGCAAAGCAAGAACAGGCGGTAGCCAGCTTGTGAATTGTTTGCGCAACTCTAACGGAGATCGTTGGTGAAGTCGACAAGTTTCCAAAGGTTCGGCTGAAACGTTGCAAGTGTCCGGGCTCCTGCAACGCAGATCCGAGGCTTGGGTACGCTGCGATGGAAATGCTGTAGCGTTTAAGCAGGGTCAACTTAGGTTCTGTGAAGTTCGTTTCGGAGAAACGGCCAAGGACGTTGGAGGTTAATTGAAAGGTAAAATGGGGGGCGATCCAGTTTCTTGTCTCAAGTCTTAGACCGGAGATGCAAGTGGGAGAAGTGGCGTCGTCTTTGTCTCCTATCGATTGTTACAAGCTGGGGTCTCGAGCTTTTTCTTATCCTTCTGGCTCGACGGGAGCAACTGAAATGAAGGAATTAAAAAGGTGATGTAAGCAGGGCAGAGAGGACAGAGTTAGTGTAAAGTGGGATATTCTGGGAAGAACGGGACTGTCGGGCCTTTTTAGACGCTTCCTGTCAAAGGAAGCTGGCAGGCTACAGAGTCATGCGAATCTGTCCTCAACTGTATACGAATATGGCAGGAAGGCAAACGTGGAAGTTGCAATGGCACCCCCCGAGCTGATTAATATGCAGCTGAGGGGTCTCCCAAAGTATCCGTACCTCGAGGTAATTATCGTGTTACTTTATCTGGCGAGGATTGGCTGATCCTGAAATGCGACCACTGTGACCTGCAACTAATATCAAAGTATCCTGGTATGTCTGGGCCTCGCACTCCAGCTTCCCGTGCCTTAAACCTCACTCCAAAGCTCCTCATGCCGGCATACTGTCTTAACTCGTACGGGGGCAGCAAACGCTAATTTGAGAAAGCGAGGGTGGTCCGGTATTCACTGGTGTCGGGTACCTCCAGCCTCCAAGGGCCCGGTTGAAAGGTGTCCTTCTTTGGGGTGGAAAATCAGCAGATGTAGGAGCCAATTGGGACCACTCTGGCGCCAAAATAAGTTGCCGCCGTTCCAGCTCGTCTCTCGGATGCCGCCGCCGCCATTCAGCTCGTTCCGGCTTGGTGCATCCCGCCAACTTGCCGATTGTAGACCACGGAGCTTCTGTCATACGCCTGGCCTCCGCTCATTCCCTGCAAGTTTGCACGTGTCGACCTACTGATAGCACTTCCCTTTAGATGCATGAAAAGCACTAAAATGCTTCCGTTCTTCGAACTCCCACCTTGACCAAGTGACGTTTAACAGCACCCTGCTGCACTACCGGTAGCACTCGTAAATCAGAGAGCACTGCGCAGCACGGCGTAAGATCTAGGAGGTCAAAAATGCCGACTAATCGTCGTCTTGTAGTGGTGCCATCATTTCATAGTCACGATCCGTAGGTTATTTACCCAAGCCCATGCGCGTGCCTCGACTTCACCTTGTTATGTCTCAAATACAGTTGGTCGATGCTCATATCGCATGCATGCCTGTGAAATTACTACCCACAGGTCCCATGCCTTTTGGAGAATATTTGCATCTTGTAACACTGCATTAGCTTCAAGTATCTATCTCCTGGTTCCTGAGCTCTGTTCATTACTGTCGTTGGTCCGGCTATGCAGGTACTAGCCAACAGCGACCATCTACACAATCGACACGCCGTCCCTTCTTTTTCCAGACGGAGCATTCACTCGTCCATGATGACATTCGTTACATCGATTGGCGAGACACAGTGTCTTCCACATCAGCGGCAACGTGGCATAGACGATGGCCGCGATGCTGGACAATAGACCTTTCACCAGACCAGACAGACCATTTCTCAACTTCCAAGATATGCAGCAAACAACCCAACACCGACAGATCCCCAATGACTCAAACCACCTAAAAGAAAATGCAATAACCATAGTGGTATGCGCCGTCTTTATACCGTGTGCCGTGGTCTGCAAGGACGAGGTATCATTATCTCTCAACCTCTTCTCCTGAATATCTAAAGAGAAAAGTTCCATCATCATTGGCCGTCATTCGTGTCGTTGAGAGCATCGCCCAAGCAGAAGTCTGCTGGGCGGGGAGCGGGAATGTGTATTGCGATTGCAGGGTAACGCGACGTTTCTCGCTATGCCGTTCTCACTGGGGAGGTTGATAATTGAGTGGGCGCCTATTTTGATCAGTGTGAGTAAGACGCACGACAGATCGGATTGAGGGGTATACCAACTTGAAGAGTAGAATGTGCGGCTCAGGCTCGTGGACCTCGTAGTGTTCCCAACCCAAACTCTGTGTTCCTAACATTAGCTTTCTGTTGCGCGTCGCAGAGAAGCCGCATGGGGGGCCGCGGGGCATACCTGAGTGATGCCGAGTGCTCGCCATTCCTCTTCCCAGAGCAGCTTCAATGTTCCATGGGAAGAGTCATGGTAATCTTTAGGGATGGCCTTGAGCATGGCTTTGGGAAGCTGCACATGCCGGTACTCGTACTCGCTGTCAGAGTATCTAGAAGGGGAAAGGCAAGCAAGTTAGTCCACAGTCAATGGAATTGTGGCAGTACGAGAAACAATATGATAACCTACCGTGCAGAGTAGTGGATAGAGTCGATGAACTCGTCCAAGCGGGCCCTCTCTGAATCGGATAAAGCCCGTGGGACCTTGTTACGACGGCTCATGTCGATATCCATGGCGGAAGCGGGTTGTCTGTCTTGTGATGGGAGTGTGCGTCTGAGGGATCGAGAGTGGCGTCGAGTCTCGGCACGTAACCGCGGACGCGATCGGCGGGGTGGCTCGTTTGCGAGGGACGAAGGGGTCAAGTGATGGGCGAAGCTGTCGAAAACTGGCGATATGCTCTCGGGCGCGGGAGAGGAGTCTGAGGGCGCGAAAGATCCAGTTCTTCCGGCAGGTCAGGCGACCACACACACAAAGCCGAGTCGGAGGGGAAGAGGAAGGGGAGGAAGAAAAAAAAACAGGTAAACAACGATGCAGGCGGGGTAGGCAGGAATTGGCACTGAAACAACAGTTCAGCTGCACCACTGACTCGAAGGAGGAGATGGGAAGTAACGAAGGAGCTCGAGGTCAGGAATATGATGTTCGAGGGAGGCTGGCGCGCGCAGCATCGAGGGGTTATTATTCAAAGAGTGGGCAAAGATACGGAGCAGTAAACAAAAGTCGGATTGGATTTCACTGAGGTACTTCGAACCCCAGCGCTGCCATCATCTGCTGGCCCCCAGGGTCCGAGGCGTTTTTGCCGGCAACTTCCGCCCCAGGTCTGGTCTGGCCTAGTCTGGAAGAAGTACTCGAGTGCTGTGGTACTGCATTATCCTATGTCTTACATAATTTCGAAGACATTCAAATCTACTTTGTACTCGGGATGCTGTGCTGCTATACATACAATCCAGCCTGAGCTGATTTCACTGCAATTTTGAGAGTTCCCCTCCACTGACCAGATACTTCCATCTGAGAATAAGCACAGTCCATGCCACGGGCGGTGAAACTTTTGCAGTTCCCAACGGCGTCAACAGGCCCCAGTCTATTCCTGCCACCTGGCAGCAGTACCGCCAGCTGATGATTGGGAATTCGCCTTGAGAAAAAGGCATCCACGCACCTTGTACTGGGTTCCTGAGGCACAAGGTGGCAGGAAGTCGCCGACGGAGATACTTCGTCCTCGTACCTTCTCCTTCGGGGTGCTCCTGCTGTTCAGTGGCCAGCGCAAAAGGTCAATACCACCATCCCGAAATTCCCAGAGGAAATCCCCCTAGCATCCCCAACCTTGAAAGACTTGCCTACTCACCACCTGCCAACTGCACCTTCGCGCGAAAGCTCATCGCGCCAGAAAAAAATAATCCCACTTCAAGTGTCTGGGCTTTTTCGCTATCTCAGATCTCTAGCTACCCCCATCTCGAAAAAACGTGGGGAGAGCTGCATCACTTCCGGGGACCTGCCTAGGTACCTTCCACAGTTCGGTCTGCGCTACGTACCTGACCTTACCTTCTGTCTACAGTCCTGTCTGCCAACAACCTTGCCCTGAACCTGCCTTCCTTACCCGCTCCGTCTCCATCTCCAACCCGACGCGTCTCTGCAATCCGGTCGCAATTGCAGCATCACCACCACCTCACCCATACAAAGGCTGCCACCTGCCGTTACCCATTGCAGGTACAATACAGCAGACAGCTCTTTCTTACTTTTTCAGCAAAGAGCGCATGCGTCCGCGACCATTGTCCTCACCTTTTTGATGGACAACAAGCGGAGATCATCCGCCGTCAATGGCGCGAATGAAGCAGACGAACGCGCTGCAAAGCGCCAGAGGCTGACTGAGGTGAGCTCTCACTGTCCTTCATACCCCCAATTGCACCCCTCGCCTGTCGACAGAAGCTTTTTATGCTTGTGTCGCCCTTCACAGGGCTTCACGAGGAATCTGACTTGCGATCCATTGGTCCCGGAACGAATGGCATTGACCTGGGCGTCCTTTGGACTGCACAGCCCTCTATCGTGCCCATTTCCGCCCATCTCCCGAATTTTTCAGACCCTCTCGGCACAATTTCTCTCCTCTGAACTCCTAGACACTACGGCTCTTCAAGTAAATAGCTAATATTTCTTTCTCCCTCGCAGAAATATGATCTCAGCAAGGGCGAGACAGTCGAGTCGACTACTGAGCATGGCCTATTCTTCCTCGAGCAAATCCGCCGAACTCAGGACAAGAAGTGAGTCTGCCTACCTACTTATCTTACCTATGTCATAGGTCAAGTCGATTTCCACTATTGCTCGATGTGTCATGGACTTTAATTGCAGTGGTGTCATTTGCAAATCAGATCCAGGCGTCGTGTGCTAATTTTCCGACTCTCCTAGTGGTCGCAAGGTCGCAGTCTATTTCGAGAAGCTGATGCCGAGAGAGGGCAACGCCGAATACTATAAGAAAACGAGGATGCCGATTTCGCTTTCGATAATCGAAAGAAAGCTCAAGAATGGCGATTTCTCGACCCTCACCGAACTCGAGAGCTACTTTAAGCGCATGGTCTCCAACGCGAAGGATTACTACACGAGGAGCACTCCCCAGTTTGACGACGCTGAGAGAGTTCGCAAAGCTCTGAGCAACTTCATGACCAAGACCAACCCTGCTTATGCTAGAGGCGGCTATACCGCAGTTCCGACCGTTCTGCCTGCCCATCGCGTGGACGAAGCCGAAGACGACGACATAGAGAAGCCGCAGGGAGCCGCTGAATTCGCTGAGGAACAGGATGATGCCGAGGAAGATGATGAGGAAGAGGGAGAAGAAGCTGAAGCAGACGAAGAGGACGGAGAGGAAGATGACGATGCGGAGGGCGAGGAGGACGATGATGAGGGAAGCCAGAACTCCAAGCCGACTATCCTTATCCGCCGCAGAGGACCGGGTAGATCGTCATCGTCCAGGGCCGTGACATCTCGCAAATCGAATGCTCGAACTGCCACGCCTAGTCGACCTGACTATGATTACGAGGGCGTCTCGTACAAGGGCCTCAACTTCCAGGCAGCTCAAGAGAAGATTGTGGAGGAAATGATTCGAAAGAAAGAAGCCGGGTGAGTGACCTTTTCTCTTCATTGCTATGGAGCATGCTAACACGCCGTCTAGCGAGGACGAGGCTTACTTTGAACCCTTCATCAACCTTCCTCCGCGGGCCTTGAAAGATTATTACAGAGTCGTCAAGGATCCCATGTCGCTTAGAAAACTTCAGAAGATCACGAAGGGCGTTCGAGGTCGCAACGAGGCCACTGGCACTACCGACTTGAAGAGTTGGGCGGCATTCGAAGAGACAGCCAGCTTGCTCTGGGATAACGCCAAGTACTACAACGAAGAAGGAAGCGAAATCTATGAACTGGCGCGAGAACTTCAGGTATATCTCACCTTAACGACTACAAGATCAACTTCTGACTCGGTTGCAGGAATTCTTCGCCGACGAAATCAAAAAGGCCAAGGCAGTTGTGCCAGAGCCTTCACAGCCCAAGATCAAGCTTAAGGTCCAGCAGTCAGCTACTGAGCAGCCGTCTACATCCAAGAAGATCACCATCCATGTTGGAGGCAAGAGTGATTCCGCGGACTCGCCCGCCCCCACAGTGCCCCAGACAGCCGGAGCCATCGTCAGTGATCAAGCGCCACTTGGCAATGGTACCGCTCGCCAGGGTGGACTACCAGCTGCTTCCGCTGCGATGGACAGACTACGAAGCACATCGGCCGCATCCCCGAGCCCCTCTGTCGCGAACAACATCAAGCGCGAGGACGCAGCACGACCTTCTCCTGCAGTGACGCCCGGTCAACCCAGCACGCCTTCTGCTTTTCCGCCGCCTGCGGGCCAGACAACAAACCTATCCAGCGCGACGTTCCAACCGATTGGAATCGTGCAGCCTCAGCCGCAGGCGAATGCCATCCCACAGCCGCCTCCAAAGCCTCTATGGGATCAGCAGTTCCGTGCGCCTGGCAAGGGTACGTATAGTGCGAAGAGATTAAAATGACTATATCACTAACCAAGCTCCCAGGCGCTGCCGATGCACTCATCACCAATCTGACTATCCAGGCTCATCCGATGATCAACATCGGAAGTCGCTTCAACATGAGCTTAAACCCCCTCGAAAGAGAGTGCAAACAGTCTGTCACCGTTCATGTCCCTGCCACCCAGCTGAGACTCCAGGTCATCGCGACTTTGCCGATGTTCCTTGAGAAGGAAGGACGTCAGTGGCGATTGTGGGTGCAGGTCAACCGGTCTACTGTACAGCAATCTCATCCCATTCAGGGCCAGATGCTCCCCGTCAACGCTAGAGTCTTTGACGTTCAGCTCCAGGCTGGAATGGTCAACGAAATCGACGTCTCCGTCGCGGCCGCTCTGCCTAAGGGACAAAAGCTGCCGAATGGAGCCGATTTCGAGGTGGAGACAATGACACTGCTTGCCAACGTGCACCGGAACTAGGAGTCTTCCGATACCACTAGTCAAGCTATTCCGTCTGACGGCTATTCAGGCGTCCAAAACATCTACGGAAACGAGGCGGACGTTCAGCCTATCAATCAAGTGCGCTATGAGAATCATCAGGCGCATGAGGGTGTTCCCGCTCTTACTCTACTGCCTCCAATTACCTTGCGAGACGTCTGGGATCAAGCTGAACTTAGAAACGCGACAGCTGCCTCCGCGGCGAACCCACTCGGGTTTCGGGAGTACATCACGAACGAAAGATTGACCACCTTCTATCCACCTATGCTCAGTTGGCCTGAAGACGATGACTTATCGCCGCATGTGCCTGCAGCGTTGGCTCCGGTGACAACTCCCGCAACGACTCCCAACTATGGAAACCACGATCATCTAGCGGCTTCGCCTCAGGATGGATCTCATTTATTTCCCCGCTTACAGAGGCTGATGTCTGAGGAGGTAGAGCATCTGCCCCTTCTGAGTGACTCGATGCAGCCCCGGTCTTCCAGAGATCTTCAGCCCATGGATCATGCCGCCTTCCAGGCATCCATAGCGTCAACACCAACTAGAGAGGCTCATACTGCAGAGACTTGCGTGAGACCGCAACCCTACACAGCCCCCGAGTTGGCATTCTTACGTCACAATACTCGGCCAAACGCGGGCTTTGGCCAGCGTCCACAGGCAACACAACAGCCCCCTGGTGCGCAAGCTGCCGATGGATTCTATGGTCATTTACCGCACCAACTTCGCCTTGTCAATTCTGGATTGCCAGGCCAAAACATGCGACTGCAACTTCAGCAGGAGCAGATTGCCTGGGAGAATGACCGGCGGGCTCGAGAGCATTTCCAGTCTCAGGTGCATCTTCAGTACCAGCAGTCCCCGTATCGTTCTCAGCAGCGCTCCGGGATGAAACTCAAGCAGGAGGATGCTCAGATGCCTATTCAGGGTGCTCAGAACGCGGTGATCAACAACCAGGTGGGCAAGGTCATCAAACAGGAGGCCCAGACGTTGGGAGATCTTGAGGGCCAGCATTATGTACGAAAGTACGTGGCAGTGACTCGAGAGGACTACGGTTACATGGGCTACTACTCGACCACTGAGATGATGGCCATCAGGCAGCGCGAGAGAGTCGCTGGTCCTCAGCCCAAGAGACCGGCGCTGAATGGCGACCCGGATGGTGAGTACGTCTGGTCTATTTGATAGCCAAGCCGTGCCTTCTTACGGGACCATATCCATTTCGCTTCAAGCGGCGACATGTTCTTGGTGGATATCTAAGCACTTGCTGGGGTGATACGGGTTTTCTGGTTCTCGTGGGTTTCACTTTCTGGGATGGACTTGTGCGCTTTTCGCGTGCCTCGGACCCGTCTGGGTACTATTTCTCGATTCTGGGCTTGGAATGGCTTTGCAGCCGCCATAGTATCGCCGTGGGACCCCCGATGTAGAGTAAATCGCTATCATTAGATAGGAAATGAGCTTATATACACACCAAGTTGTATGCCCAAAAACAGTGAAACCGAGGCATGGATAACTTTTGTCGTGGTCACCGAGTGGCCTTTGATGTGTGAGCCTAACTCAACTGTCCCAACTCGTTAAGAAGGGATACAATAAGGAATTAATTCACCTTGAGCGTAACCATGAAACATTAGAGAGGTTTCTCTAGGTCATGAAACCTAGTCAAGGTGCGGCTGCAAATGAGCAGTGACTCACTGTTAATACCTTTGTTCTTTTACAGTTATAACGGCAGCAGATTTCTTCCAGATGCGAGCCTGCGGAGACAGCAGAAGAAATAATTTGAAATACCTATACCTTTCCAATCCGTACGGATATCGCAAGGACTCTGGGAGTCATACTTGCATGACGTCGTCTGGGGATCCGTTATTGAAGTGTGGACCCTTGTGGGAAAACTGGAGCAGTGTCTACCCCAGCACCTAGCAACCGGCAGCCAGATGGTGTCTTGGAGGATGTCGGTAATGCGGGCGGGGGCCCGTCGGAGGATCCGACAAAGCGACCTAACCATAATATGGCCTCGCGGTCCTGGGGTTCGACGATGACCTCGAGTGCCTAGCTAATCCCCTCGCATTTTCATGGCTGGTCCGATTTGTTCAACGAGCACGAAGATGGGCAGTTCCTCACATCATCATTGTTTTCTGAAGAGAGACCCAGCTGGGGTTAGAATTAAGCATGGCAAGTTGCATCACTAGCACAGGCCGGGCTGGCGGCAATTGGTCTGATGTTTAATGCGTGGTAGCTGGTTGGCGCGAGGCACGCTCGGCTCTTGGGCGTGCTGCTCGTGAACCCACGAGGAGGACCGCGCAGCCGGGCCAACTCTGTCAAACTTCGTCCCAGTTGTTGCCTTTGATGCTTAGCACCTTTCAAATTCGTGGGGAAGAGTCAATTGAAGCTCCCAATGGCAGTTCGGTCAGGTCATGACCTCCGACGGCACCATTGCGACAGAGCAACTCTGCTCTTTGCATTGCTGCAGGAGGTCGGCGCTCCGCCCAGGTAGCTGACCTTGCAGCTTCCAGGAACCTTGTCGACGGGTAGGCCAGGCCCCTCTCGCCGCTCACAAATCAGCCAACAATGGCTGCAGAGACATCATCTTGGGGGGCATGATCCGACGAGGAGGACGAAAGGCGGTGTCTTCTCACGCAGGGCCATCATTGCTGCAGGACCATCAGCAGGTGGCAGGACTGCGCGGTAGGATGGCACAGAAACGGACACGGACCATGAACCCAGGCAAGCTGCAGCATGTGGAATTACCGCGTGAGGTTTAGCGCGGACCTCCAAGTGGGAGATCGATCTTCCGATAACGGGGGGCTGATTGGCCTACGAGACGTGTGGAGAGGTGTACCGCCAATGGGAGAGGTTGAATGCAGCCCACTTCAGGTGGCATCTAGCGGGGTACCGACAGGACAGACGTAACGACCGGCCCTTGGAAAATGTTGATTAAGAGTCAATGGCACAGTGCTGCAGCGCGGTCGGGGATGTGCCATGAGCGGGGCTAAAGAGTGGGAAAAATTCTTTTTTTCCGCCCATTGACTGGCTGACCTTGGGAACAGCGAACGCCGTCCTCGGTCATCACTGGCCATCCCGCCCAATCCACACCTTGTTGCGTACCGCCTCGCCTCGCCCGGTGCTATTTTTTTTTTTACTTCCAGTTTTTCCTTACATATACTCTTGGCCTACCGTCCGTCTTCCCCGTCCTACTTTGAACTGTGACTCAACTTGCTCAAACCTCCGTCTATAAATCCCACCATTATCCCGAGCTTCGACCTACTCATCCTTGATCAATTCACTCTAGTACACGACATACGGTGCATGAACATACAAAATGTGCCCTACTCCTGACGTCCCGGCCTCCAATGGCCACGCCAATGGCACCAATGGCCATGCGAACGGCAATGGCGCTGCCAACGGCACCAACAAGGCTGGTAAGTATCGCAGCCTCTTGCGCGGTATCATTGTCAATCGATGACTGACTTTGATGCGTCTAGACCACCCCGGGTTCACTGCCATTCCTGTAAGAACCATCAATCGCCTCCGAAAATCGCTTCCGCGGTACCGGTGACGAACTGTTCTGACCTCGACGATATAGACCAAGCAGAAGCACAGCAACCCCTACCAGCCGGTTGGCGACTTCCTCAGCAACGTTGACCGATACAAGATTAGTGCGTTCTGCCAACCCGGCTTCTTTTGAGTCACCCCCACTGACGTGTGACGTATAGTTGAGTCCACCCTGAGAGAGGGCGAGCAGTTCGCCAACGCCTTCTTCGACACCGAGACCAAGATCAAGATTGCCAAGGCCCTCGACGACTTTGGTGTCGACTACATTGAGCTTACCTCGCCCGCTGCCTCTGAGCAGTCCCGCAAGGATTGCGAGGCCATCTGCAAGCTCGGCCTCAAGTCCAAGATCTTGACTCACGTCCGCTGCCACGTAAGTCCCCTGTGTCGGCACGCTTAAACCACGCAAAAACTAACATTGCGCAGATGGACGATGCCCGCCTCGCCGTCGAGACCGGTGTTGACGGTGTCGATGTCGTCATCGGCACCTCTTCATACCTCCGCGAGCACTCCCACGGCAAGGACATGACCTACATCATCAACACCGCCATCGAGGTTATTCAGTTCGTCAAGTCCAAGGGCCTCGAGATTCGTTTCTCATCCGAGGACTCCTTCCGTTCCGACCTCGTCGACCTTCTCTCCGTCTACAGCGCCGTCGACAAGGTTGGTGTTCACAGAGTTGGTATTGCCGACACCGTTGGCTGCGCCAGCCCCAGACAAGTCTACGACCTCGTCCGCACCCTGAGAGGTGTCGTCAGCTGCGATATCGAGACTCACGTAAGTCATCTTCCAATCGAGCGAGCACGGCGCACACTTGATACTTACACCTGAATAGTTCCACAACGATACTGGATGCGCCATTGCCAACGCCTACTGCGCGCTTGAGGCCGGTGCCACCCACAGTGAGTCCGATACTTGATAGCTTGGTGCTTCGCACACACTGACGTTTTACTTCCAGTCGACACCTCCGTCATCGGTATCGGTGAGCGCAACGGAATCACTCCCCTCGGTGGTTTGATGGCTCGCATGATCGTCGCCGCCCCCGACTACACCAAGTCCAAGTACAAGCTACACAAGCTCAAGGAGCTTGAGGACCTCGTCGCCGAGGCCGTCGAGATCAACATTCCTTTCAACAACTACATCACCGGTTTCTGTGCCTTCACCCACAAGGCCGGTATCCACGCCAAGGCCATCCTTAACAACCCCAGCACATACGGTAAATTCATTGGGACAGATTCGTACCCGTGCACGCGGCTAATTCATGTACAGAAATCATCAACCCCGCCGATTTCGGTATGAGCAGATACGTCCACTTCGCATCAAGATTGACTGGCTGGAACGCTATCAAGTCGCGTGTGGAGCAACTTGGTCTCACCATGACCGATGCTCAGGTCAAGGTTGTCACTCAGAAGATCAAGGCCCTGGCAGACGTCAGGCCGATTGCCATTGATGACGCCGATTCCATCATCCGTACTTTCCACTTGAACATCACAGAGGGTGAGGAGAAGCCACTGTTGCCCAACTTGACCGCTGAGGAGCAGGCCAAGTTCGAGAAGGCGGAGAGAGAGCTTGCTGGCGAGCCTGAGAAGCGTGCTTTGGATGAGGCCGCCGCGGAGCCCGCGGCTAAGAAGGTTAAGGCGTAATTTTTTTTTTTTCACATTTCCGGGATGCATATGGGACACCAAAAAATGGGGCATCTGCTTGTACAATCATAGAGGGGAGAGCTACAAAAGTGTTTAGTTCAGATACCTCATCAACGAAGAAACGTTCAAAGTCGAAACGGTATTACACAATTGGATCGCTTAGCTCTCAAGCGCCAGTGTTTTTTTTTTGGATCTGTCGACGGCACCACCGACATTTTCTACAGTTTCAGGGATAGCGACCAAAGTTTAACACGTTGATCAATCTTCAGTCATATGAAGGGACTGTTGATTGGAGCATGAACTAAGTACAACTCTAAGATGGCTCCATGTTTGCGGCCATCAAGGCAAGACATGAAATGCTCAATTGTCGGCTGGGTCGCCCGCTGTTGATGCCGGTGGGTCTGGGTTCCACTGCTGGAGGCTAAGATAAGATAAGATAAGAGCGGCAGAACAGAAAAATTCCAGTTTACCGACCACTTTTTGACCGAGTACCTCGTCGCAATCCTCCCTCTATTTGCAGGCGCTCATCGAGAATCCTCAGCCATGAACTCGCCCCCCATGCGCTCATGACACCTTTGAGCCTACCGACATATTAACCCCCAATTACTTCTCTCTACATCCGGTCGCGAACCTAAGAAATCGAAAAAGTCTCCCACCCAAAACGATCAAAAGACACACAGACACAACAACCCCCTCCAAAACTCCCACAACCGACGAGAAAGAGAAAGGGAAAAGAAAAAAGATGGACGCGCGCGCGCTCCTCCAATCGCAAGGATGGCGCGGAAGCGGCCACTCCCTCCACGCGACAGACGACCGCATCGGCCTCGCGAAGCCGCTCCTCCTGAACCGCAAAGACAACACAAAAGGTCTGGGCACGAAAGCACACTTCACGAGCGACACGTGGTGGATGAACGCCTTTGACGAGCAGCTGCAAGGGTTGGATACCTCGAAACCGGGGCAGGTTACGCAGACGGTGACGGCGGGTCGGCTGAACCAGATTGAAAAGGTGTCGGGGGGGAAGTGGATGCTGTATGCGAGTTTCGTCAAGGGCGGGTTCCTGGAGGGGACGATTGAGGGGTTGGAGAGGAAGAAGGAGGAGGAGGTGGAGGAGAGGGTTAGGGAGGTTACTGGGGCTGTTGCGCCTCAGAGTTGGGGTACGAGTATTGAGAACATGACGACGACGAAAAGAGAGGTGGATGGGAAGGGGAAGAAGGCGGAGACGAAGGAAGAGAGGAGGGCGAGGAAGGCTGCCAAGGCGGCGAGGAAGACGGCGAGAGAGGCGAGGAGGGTTGATCGGGCTGCGAAGAAGGTCTTGAAGGAAGAGAAGAGGGCGCGGAGGGAGGTCAAGAAGGTCAAGAGGGAAGCGAGGAAAGCGGAAAAGGCGAAGAAGGGGGTGTCTGGGTGATGTTTGTGGGCTGAGTTGAGGATTGGTTCCTGAACCGAAAAGGTCCGGCAAACGTGGAGGACATGCCCCAGCACGCTCCGGCAAGCCAAAGACCAGATCCCGTCGCCGTGCCTACTTTTTTCTCGAGGAGCGAGGGGCTGGCTGTGCGGCGCCGACGTTGATGAGCATGAGCCGCCGGCTTCACGGCTTCGTGCGAGGGACGGGGGCGGTGGAAAGATGATTCTGTCAATACCAGGGGGACTACGTTATCATATGGCGCAAGGTATATCCAAAAAGCATTGATTCATAGATAGAAGATAAAGGTCACGCTGTCCAGCTAGGACGTCAGAGCGAACGGGGCTCTATTGCAGTCACAGGCTGCCACTTCGACGATAATAGATTAAACGATGTAAGGCTTGATCATCGACCAGAATTCGCGATGTTCTTGTTCTCTTCAGTTTGGCCTCGGCCTCGGCCTTCTAAAGTGATCCATAGCCTATTTCCCTGTGAAGAGTCGGAAGGCATAGAACTAGATATGATATCTCCCTGTGGGTAGCGTTATCTCATGCCTGCCATCCTCTTTTCCTTCTCTATGCTGTCTGCCCGTCTCTGCGGATCCAGACCTGTCCGCGTCCCTCCCACGACTGGTATACTGGAGAGGGTCTCGGACACAGACGACGTTGGAATCGAAATTCCTCAACCAGGAGACCTAAGAGCATTCAAGGCTCCTTGGGGGTCTTCCCTGGCTTGTTGGAAAGTAGCCACGGCCTCCTGTCCCAGAAGTCATCCTTGATGATGTCGAGGTGCTCAATGACGACGCGGGCCTTGGTGCGCTTCTTCTTATCCTTTTCTGCTTGCGTCTTGCTCTGCTGGACAGGCTCCGCGAGCGCATCTGCCGCTTGCGCGGCGTTGTGCGTACCCGGTTCAACGAGCTCGTACTATAAAAGGGTCGTCTTAGTAAGGGAAACTCCGCGTCTCGGGCATTCTGCCAATGAGACAACTTGGAATGACTTACGTCTCGGAAGACTACACTGCCTTTTTTGTTGATCTCGGGTTCATTATTGTAGTTGATCTTAAATTTTGAGAAGAGGATCTCGTTCTTGTCTCCGGATACGGTGCCCTTATGGAGTAGTTAGATTGTGTTTGCATGAATATCCCTAAGTCAATGAGATCTCACTGCCAGGAGTTTCTCTGCCTCTCTGTTGTCTAGGCCACCCAATTGAATGAGAGCCCAGAAGGTTGTGTTGTAGAGGTTGTTGATATGGCCTTTTACTAGGTTAGTCTCCTAAGATGTACGGAAGAATACGTTGATAAAGCACTCACAGTCGACTTGTCGCCAGCTCATGTAGTCCCTCAGGTTTGACACGGTAGGATAGCACACTGCTCTCCCGTCAAAGCTCGGCAGAGGCGAGGTGAGCGGGGTATCTGGGAAATACTGCGACCATAAGTGCACGTAGTTGGCCGTGAACGTGGACACGACTGTGCTTGAGATCTTGCTAAACAATTTCAGCTAATGAGTTGTGAGTGATTCACGAGGGGACGGATCGCTTACCTGGCTCTCCTCTCAAAAAGGGTACATGATTTGTGAAACACGAAGCTGTACTCGTCGCTGACACCGTAGGCGATGGTGATGTCTGGGAGCTCAGTAACAACAACCCTGGCTGCGGCGTTCATGAGGTCTATGGCCCTCTTGTCGTTGGGCTTTTCAAAGCCATACTTTGCACATAACCTATGTGGTGTCAGGCAACAACTTTGGAGGTAGATTTACCCTTGATCCTGTTGACTTACTTGGTGAAACCTCGCCCGTCTATGCGGACGACGATCCAAGTGTTTGGCAAGAGAAAGTCGGGCTGCTCGAAGCTCTTGACGTATTCAAATCTGGAGAAGTAGTCAGACCCAAATTCAATAGGGAGGTCCAAACTGTACATGGGCTCTTACTTGGAGTTCGCCATTGTGAAGATGGGGAAGAACTAACCATCTGAGGTCTACTGCAAGGCAGTGTTGGAGACGAACTTCAGACAGCCCAGCAGACGGGATGGCGGGGGAGGGGTTGTTCTGCCGCTGCTTCAGCGGGGCCTAAATCTGAGCTGAAATGTATGCAAGGATCAGGGGTGTGGAAAGACAGTAGTTCCCTTTATGCTTCCCATCATGTATTTCACCATAGACAAGCTGTATCACATTTTTCTACTTCAATTTTCTGCTAATTTGGAAGAAAAAAAAGAAAAAGGCAAATGTAACCTCCCCACTGTGCTAAAATGGAGAAAGTAGAAAGAATATGGTAAATAGACGTTTCTGTCCTCCAGTCCTCTCTTGATCTTGCCCTCTGCATCGAAGAAAGATTGTTAAATGTGAGGCGCATTCGGCGACTAAGAAAAAGACTCAGTAGCCAAGTAAATTTCAATCTTCAGCGGCAACTCTCTCTTTGTTGAACTTTAGTCATTTGATTATACCCAAAACACTTTTGTCTGAAATTCCCTTTCAAGATGGCATAGGCAAAAGGCCTGGAGAGGTTCTGGAGGTACTTCATACCAGAGGTACTCCTTTGGCAGGCAACGCTGTGGGGCCTGATCCCTGGAGCGCTTCAGCCTTGCAGGCGCAAGAAAGGCAGTCGCATGTGCACGGCTGCACTCCAATAATTATTCTGCGAAACAAGCCCATTTCAAACTTGCGATCTGCACCATCATACCCCCCAATCCACAGCACGCAAAGCTCGTCCAGATCGCCAGCTTGCGGAAGCAGCTAGGCCTCCCGCGATCATGAACTTCCTTCTCAGTAATGAAGAGAATGAGGCCATCGCCGCGGTCGAGGCCATTAACGCGATCAACAACACGAACACCATCCGGTCTGGACATTCAACATGCCTACGATTCAACCGATCGGGTGACCTCTTGGCCTCTGGTAGGGTGGACGGCACAGTGGTCATCTGGGATATCGAAACAATGGGTGTAGCGAGGAAGATGCGCGGCCACCACAGAAGCATCACCTCGCTGAGTTGGTCAAGGTGCGGTCGGTACCTGCTGTCAGCGTGCCAAGGATGGAAGGCTGTCTTATGGGATCTGAAAGATGGCAAACGGTATCGCGAGGTCCGTTTCCGGGCTCCGGCATACATCGCGGAGCTTAATCCCTTCAATCAGTGAGTTGAATAGCCCGTTTATCCGAGAAGCTGAGAGTTTGCTAACTTAGCAAGTCACCAGTTTGTGGCCTCGATTTTCGAGGATCACCCAATCCTTGTCGATGTGACAGACGTGACCGATGTCAAATACCCCCTTAGCTCGGCACCGAAACGCCCCGATATCGACGGTGAACCTACCGAGAAACAATTGAAAGACGACGCGAAACAGATGACCACCGTCACGATATTCACCTCTACGGGAGAGCATATTCTGGCGGGAACCAACAAGGGATGGATCAACGTTATCGACGCGAAGACCCGGAAGACGATATACTCAGAAAAGCCATGCAGCGGTGTTATTACAACATTACGCCTGAACAACTCGGGAAGGGTTCTGCTGATCAATGCCCAAGACCGCATAGTCAGAACCTTTCATATTCCGAATTTAGCAGCTGAGGATCTCGATCTCGATACGATACACTTCACAGAAGAACACAAATTCTCCGACCAAGTTAACCGGTTGTCATGGAATCACGTCACATTCAGTTCGGCCTCCGAGTACGTCGCAGCATCAACGTACAATAACCACGAAATATACGTCTGGGACAGAGGCATGGGCAGCACAGGCCTGATCAGAATCCTGGATGGCCCCAAGGAAGAGCAAGGCGTTGTGGAATGGCACCCGGATCGACCCTTCATTGCAACGTGCGGCCTTGAGACGGGAAGAATATATATTTGGTCCGTCATACCCGAGCAGAAGTGGTCCAGACTTGCGCCCGACTTTGCACAGGTCGAGGAGAACCAGGAGTACGAGGAACTGGAGGACGAATTCGATATATACGGACAGGAGGAGCTGCAAAAGAGACGCTTGGACGCTGAAGATGAGGAAGTGGACGTCGTTACTTCGACGGTCATCAATGGGCACATTAGTGATGCTGGGGCATTCCGTATGCCAATACTCTTCGACCTCGGAGAGAGCGACAGCGAGGAAGAGTTCGTTGCGGTATCTACCGGTACCATGCGGAGAAGGAGTCCGGGTGCGGACGGCGAGATACCGGACAGCGAGGTCGTGGAGGATAAGATGACCTCTCGAAAGGGCAGGATTGGTGGTAAAGGTCGGAGAAGATAGAAAACAATACCCCGAGTCGTTGATGATTTCTACGTTAACAGGCTTCTAATGAACTAAAGTTGAAGCGTGGACATTAAAAACGCGTGACATGGCGTTGGATCGCGTCGCCATGGGACGAGCTTCGTTGGTGAGCGGACCCTTGCTCGGACTTTAGCGCGATGGGGCTTGCTGTGATGTAAACCAGAACCATCCAGGACTCCAAAAGCTCTCGAAGCTGGGTGGCTGCTTAATAATGACGAAACTTCGACAGCCATTGGGGAGAAATGCTAGACAAAGCGAGGGAGTCGAGTCTCGAAAGTTCTCAGCCATCAAGTCTTGTCAACGCCAATTTCATCTTTACCGCTGCAAAGGTTCCGCAGGAATTCTTGACTCATCGGCGTGATGCAGGCTTGCAGGACTTTTCCCTCTCGCACAGTGAGCGATTCATTATGGAAATGTACATAGAAGAACGAAGAATATGGAGTACCCAGTACTTAAGTCCGACGGCGATTGCTCCTCCTGTTTCACGACTTTTGTGGGTACCTTCGACCTCGGGCACGCGTATCCAGCCTGAGGAAGGTAAAGGAGGGTGATTGCCAAATCCGGCTAGCGTACTTCCGCCGGCTGCGCCAGCCGCCTGGAGGCAAGATTTGTTTCTGACCTCGCTCCTCATTCTCGCCTCCACGGTCTTCACTTCTACAACTCCGTCAATCCACGTATCGACAATCACCACGCGCGTCGGAAATCGCGCCCCTGGACCGCACATTCATTTCCGATACGATACACGACTCGATACGATCG